AAAAAAAAAAAGCTAAGATTGTATAAATGTGGCAAATAATTGAGAATTTTACCTCATAATAATATTTTTGAAAAATTTGGAAAATTCCGATTTAAATAATTCTATAAACGTTTAAACAAAATATTATTTTTTCAATTTCTTAATACGTATATAAAAATGTGGTTTGTTTGTTTTTGTTTTTTTTTTTTTTTTTTTTTTTTTTTTTTATTTGGAAAAAAAAAAAAGTTATAAATATTTATTTAAAAAAAATTTTCCAATTATTATTATTAATTTATTAAAAATTCATTTAATGTAGGGGCCATATAATTAAAAAAACATTTTAATGGGTTTACGTTACGTATGTAATTAACTTTATTCTCACTTTAATATATTTTATATTATATTCAAAAATGTTCTTTTGGATGGTTTAGTATTTGCCTCACACGAAAAATTTAATGATAATAAAAAAAAAAAAAAAAAAAAAAAAAAAAAAAAATTAACTAAAAATTAACTTGTTTATTTTTTTTGTATTTTGAAATAATTGTGATTTTTTTACACTTGTTAAAATTAATTCCAATTCAATTATATATAAAAACTTATTTACGTTTACATATTTTTATTTTCATGGAACAAAAAAAATTTACTTTATATAAAAGAATTAAGAAATAAAAGAACAAGTTTTTTTCCACGTGTAAAAATTACACGTGGTGGTTTGTGTCTTGGAAGAAAATACGAACCGATTGTACTCTTGTAATTATTCCCCTAAATTGTAAATTTTTTTTTTTTTTTTTTTAATTTTTTAAAAATGAATTTTTATATTTTTTTAGTTGCCGAAGTAAGTGCTTCTGTTTTTTGGAGAACTCCATTTAGCATCATATGCAGCCCCCCACAAATGATCGAATTTGTTGTTATAGAAATTGATGTTATAAATGCTAATGAAAAACAAAGGTTTAAAGGGCAGGGAGCCATTTCTCATAAGGTAATTTTTTTTCTTTTTTTTTAAAATCAGGTTTAATGTTATTTTGCAATTTCTCAAATTAATAACGATAAAAAAAATTTTTTTTTTGTAGCATTTACTCGCGGATGTTTGGGTAGTAAAAGCTTCAGAATTAGGTATAAATGAAAATACAATTCACACGAGGACACACTTGGGAGCAATATTAAAACCTGGAGATTCAGTTTTAGGGTAAATATAAAAAAAAAATTTATCGTATTTTGAAATTAAAAAAAAAAGTTTAAATATTTATAATATGTTATGTTGCACAAGTATTAAATAATTTTTTTTTTTCTGTAGTTACAATTTGGCGGATTTTAATGTAAACGATGATAATTTTGATAAATTAAAAGAAAATGATTTGCCGGATGTGATATTAATAAAAAAATATTACGGTGAAAGATCAGCTAGAAAAAGATTGAGAAATTGGAAATTGAAACATTTAAATGAAGATGCCACTAATTTTAATAAAACATCAGAGTATGTTTATTTTATTTTGAAAAAAAAAAAAAGTAATATTTTTAATAAAAATTTTCTTTTTGCAATTTATAACGAAAAAATTATTTTTTTTACAGCGAATTCGAAGAATTTCTCGAAGATTTGGAGGAAGATCCAAATTACAGGCAAAATATAAATATATATAAAGTTGAAAAAAGTGAAACGACGATTCCAGTTACTTATGATGAAATGGATGATCCAGCTTTTCCAAGAATTACGTTGGCTGAAATGTTGGATGATCTTCAAATTGATGATAATGGTGATATTGAAATGAATGAATAATTTTAATAATAATTAGGTACTTTACCTTAACACAAATTAAAAGATAATAAATGATGCTATCAAAGATGGTTAATTCATTTTTTGATTTTTTAACCGTCGTTTTATCACTAAAGTGTAAAGAAATTCTCAATTAAAAAAATAAAAATAAATTTTTATTTTATTAACTTAAAGCTACAATGATTTATCACTAATTAATAGTTGATTTCTAGGTGAAATCTCAGGATCGAAACCGGAAACAATCTTACAGGAAATACCTAAAAACGAATAACAATAAATGCATGATTGATGATGAATATGATGAATAAGGTCAAAATTTACACATTTTTTTTTTTTACCTTTTTCCAGAAGATATAATTTTCTATCTAAAAGAATCACAGTTTCAATTAATGGAGCAAGCATTAACCTAAAAGAATAATATTTTACCACATCCTGCCAGTTTTGTAAATTTCTTAAAGTTTCTTCGGAATTCAAATCCTGTTCGGAAAGTTTAACATCAAGTTTTCGAAGAGCTGTTTCACAATACCTATAAGTATTTATTACGTTTATTGAAATGGTCAAAAAATAATTACTAATAGTTTTAAAAATTTATACAAACGTTTTAAAATTTAAATTTGGGTTGGATTTAACATTGCTGAGACCCATTTTTTTATATCGAGGCCATTTATCGTTTATTATTTTTTCTAAAGCTGCCCTGAAACAATGAACTTTTAAATGATCATAATCTTTCGATTTAAGTCTTTGACAATATGTTTCAATGGCGTGACAAGCCAATGCTTTAGCTTCATAACTCAAAGGAGTAGAATTTTCCTTACAAAAATTTGATAATGGATACGTCGTGTTAATATTTTCATTTCTGTAATGAAAGATTTGTGTAAATTAAAGTACACAAGTTATCCATTTCTTCTATAATTTGAATATTAAAAAGTAATAAAGAAGTATTTTGATTTATTATATTCTTCGAAAAAAAACTTCCATAGTAAAAATGAAGTATAATTAATATTATCTAAATAAATAAATTATAGAAATTAATTAACATTTACTTTGTTGTGGAAAGTTTGTGATAACAACATCCAGCTATATTAATAAATTGTGCTTGTGGACAATTAGTGTACAAATTTAAAAGATATGCAGCTAAATCACCACAAGGATGTAAACCAATTATTCCAAATTTAAAATTATCATCTTTAATTCCGAATGCATCCTTCAAGTCCTGCCATAAGAAAAAATTAATTTTATAAATTTGACTACTTTAAATAATAATAATTTGATACAACAATTTTACCTGTAAGAAGCAAGAAGAACTAATGTCAAATTGAATACTTTTATTAACGTGAATTGGTCTGTTTCTTTTAAGTTCTATTAATTCTTCATCGTTCAATAATTTTTGTGCTATCATTTCAAATTCAGAATCAAGATGTCTACAAAATTATAAAATATTATTGTTTAATTTCAATATTTTTATTTTAGAACAATCAGAAGATTTAAAGAACAACCTAGCTTGTTGTATTAACTCATGATTACTTTCGATAGCAAAGACAGTGAACTGAAAGCCATAAGCTAACACTCTGGTTAAATGTCCAAGACCAGATCCAACATCGACTATTAGTTTTACATTGAGTTTGCTTGCTATATCATAAGTAATTTCTGCCATTTTAAAAATTTCATATCTTTTCTTCTGTTTGACATGTTTAAGAAATATATTCCACAATTTGAGATTACTAAATGTTTTATTAGATAAACTCGATGAGCAACTTTTAGAACTTTCAGAAAATTTTAATTTATTTTTATGTGTAGTTTGAAAAAAAGAAATTTTATTATTGTTATCTGTTTGTCTAGGTAAAACTAAAATGTTTATTAATGTTTTTAAACAAATTAATGATAATGGATAAATCTGATGAGGTTTATTTGAAGAAAGACTTAAAACGTAATAAAAATCTTCTAACGGGACACTCTTTAAAATTTCTTGCCAACTTTTTGGTAATTTCTGCATGTGATTTTCGATGAAGAAATCCTAAAATAAAAAAAAAAAAAAATTCGCTATATTAATATTAATAATGAAAGTAGATAAAATTTTATTAATATATATATAATTAGGAGCAACTGAGCAAACAAATTATCAGATACTTAATCACAATAAAAGCATTTTCTATTTGTTACTTGCAAGAATAATTAATATCAAAAACAGTATAAATGTTGTTTGGTGTTTATAAAATTATTTAAGATAAACATATTAAATTACTAGTACGTATGATTCCAAAAGCCAATCATATTGTTTTAATATTTCCAAACATAATCGTAATCGACTTTTTATTAATAAATTTTCATCATACACGACCATAGCTAATATCGAAATTAAAAGTTTACTAACTATAAGTAGTACAATATGGCAGAAACAGATTCAGATGCAAGCAAAAGTGATATTTTATATGAATTTATTATTTTATCGGAATGGATTGAAGATTATGACAGTGTAATTACATTTATTAACATTATAATAATATTATTAATTTGTGCTTATTTATTTTAAATTTTTGTTTCAGTATTTTTTTTTTTTTACTGCATCAAAATAGGGTTATATTTACATATATGTTTGTAAATATTATTAAATTATTTTTGATTTTAGGTTGTCTCTAAAAATACATTAAACAATGTTCAAGAAACGTCACTTTATTTCAGTCCATGGAAATTATTAAAAAAATCAACAGGAAATACATTGAGGTTGTCATAAATTTCAATAATGTTTTTTTTCTGTTTTTTTGTTTTACAAATTCAATAATAAATTATACTATTATTAAAAAGTTTTTTATAGCTTTGTATTAAATTTATTTTACTAAGATATAGAATTTAATTATAATATAATTAAAATATCTTAATTTGTGTATTTTTACAGAGCAGTTTATTAATAGTAATTGTAATTTGTTTTTCGAATAAGTATTTAAAAAATTTAATGATTAATTTTATAAATAAAATACAAATAAATACTTTCAAATATTAGAATCTACTTTTATTAAAATAGTACTAATTATATAAGAAATTTGCTAATTGTAGGTTTCTAGAAACTGAGTATTCTTGGCATTTAGCAGTCAGTAAAGATGGAAAAGTGGTTGCCATTCTTAAAGATGTCTCACTCGAAATCAAAACTGCCAAAGATGGATACTCTTCTGCAGTGGGGAAAGCTTCTAGTGAGTTTTAATAATTATGAACATTTATGCTTTTAATTTCAATTATGACAATGTGTGTACTTAAAAAAATATATTTAATGTATTGTTTGTATTATTTAATGCAGTACCCAGTGATCAGAATCCCAAGTTAAGAAAATTAAAATGGAGTGCAGATAATTCTTTTTTAGCCCTTGCCAGGGATAATGGAACTATTCATGTATTTAATCTATTAGGGTGCAATTTAGCTACAATAAAAGGAGTAAGTATGGCATTTTAAAAAACTGTAATGTAATATTTTAAGAAATTCATTCTAAAACTTCAATAATTTTTAAATTTTTAAGCCAGATGATTCAAATGGTATATATCAACCAGTAGTTGGATTAGATTTTTTGCAGCCAAAGTTTAAAAGCAGTCAATGGTAACTACACATTCAAAAATAACATTTTACTCGAAAAGTTATAAAAAAAAAAAAAAAATAGAAAAAGTTAAAAAATACTTTTAATAATGACTTCAGGTCAAATGAATTGCTTGTTGTTTATCATAAAGGAGATGTAAAAAGCATTTTATTGTCATCTTTAGATGGTCAAGAATCATATGAAAACATTGAATTTTCTTTAAAGCCTTATTATCCTCAAGGAATTTTCTCTGTTGCTTATGACTCAAATTACTTATTAATAGTATCTGGACCACCTACAAAAAATGAAGTATGTTTCGCTAATGAAAATCGCTTTTGAAATTTTATTGAAAATTTTACATTACACCAGTAATATACTTCTGTATATATTTAAAAAATAACATTTTAATGTATTTTGATTATAGAGTGGAATTACAGTTTGGAGAATTTTAAATGATTATCCTTTTTTAAAATGTACAGTGGAGATGGAAAGATTTTCTGCTAGTTCGAGATCTTTTTTAAAATTTTTTTCGTTTTGTTCAAACTATCAAAATCCGAAAACAGTCATTAAAATGTCAATTTCTCCATCAAACAATTTTCTCGCTTGTATTCATTTATGTGGTGAAATATCTTTATGGAGAATGCCTGGAATTTTACTGCAGAGAAAGTGGTCACTGCATGAACAACCTCAATACAATAAGAGCAACATTAAAAGTAGAGAAAATTCAAATAATGAAGATTTATTTTATCCTTTCGACATTGGTTGGTGGTCTGATAATGTAAGAATTTTAATTAATTTAAAACTCATAAATTTTTATATAAAATTAAATAAAGCTTTATGAGAATTAAGTAAAAACTTAATTGTAGGCACTGGTAATAGTCAGGCGGAATGGAGCTTTAAGTGTATGTTCTATAACGACATTACAAAACCTATTAGGAGACTCTCCAGAATTTTTGGCTGAATCTCCTCAAATATCTTGTATTAAAGGTGATCGTTCTGGTGTGATGGCCTTAGAGTGTAAAACATCATTTAATTGTAAAAGAAGGGAAGATTCGTATTTTGATGTGAGTAATATATTTTTAAAAATTAAAAGCCGTTTATATTAGAATAAAAAATTTATTTTATATTTTTTTTTTTTTTTTTTTTTAGGAAGTTAATAAAGATACCGAAACATCAATTTTGCAAGAAAGTATTCAAGCTGCTTTGTATTCAATCACGGACATTGAAAAATTTGAGCCAAAAAGAAAAACTCCTAAAGTTATTCAGAGAATTTATAGAATGATTGCATTAAAAAAAACTACTCCCGAAGAATTATATGCAAGAAAGGTAAAAATAAATAAATTTTTGTGAAATATTGTTTATTTTAACATGAAAAAATTTTGGAACAAATGTGTTCATTTCAAAATTATGACTTAATTCACATTCTCAATTATCTTTTTTTTTTTTTTTTAATACAAAAATCTTATAAATCAATTTATCATTTTAGATAGATAATGAAGAGTACGAAGAAGCCTTACTACTTGCTCAAAAATATAATTTGGACTGTGATTTAGTTTATCAGAAAAGATGGAGAAATAGTAACGTTTCTTTAGAAAGCATACATAGTTTTTTGGTAAGTATTTTAGTTCCTTACATTTCATTTATTTTATATATATATATAAGAATATTTTTTTTTTTTTTTTTTTTTACAGGAAAAAATTAATAAAATTCAATGGGTTGTAAATGAGTGTGTTGAAAGAGTTCCGGACGCTTTAGAGGATGTTAAAGAATTATTAAAATTTGGCTTGGAAAAAAGTAATATAAAAGTTTCATTTGAAAGTTTGGATTCTGAAAAGCGACAAATAGTTTTATATAGAATTAAACTGTTAAAATTTTTAGATAAATTATCAATTTACGAAGTAATAAGCTTCCTTATCTATATCATATCTATTATTTAATGTTTTCAGTTGCTTTAATAATTTTATTGATTTTATTTTAACAGAAAATTATAGGATCCCCTAAAAAATATGATAAGAACGAATACGACAATTTTCGAAAGCAACCAGCCATAGCTGCTATTGTAAATTACGCACGTAAAGGTAATTGGGAAGCTGTTTCCACCATGTTTACCTATGAAGGAAATGAAACATTACCTCACAGATTACCAATTCTTTCGAATTTTCCGGAAACGCTAAAACCGTTGCAGTATCGATGTTTATTACCGGAAATAGTAGAACGTGAAGTTATTTCTTGGGAAACGAAAATATTAAGAAAATTAGATTGGTGTGAAAAAAATTCTTATGAGTATGTTAATAATAATAATAATAATAATAATAATAATGAGGCTTATTTTTTTTTAAATTAATACAATTTATTAAAATAATAATTTTTTTATTATTATTATAGGTCTCTTATTTGTGAAGATAATGATGTCACAGTGGAAGAAGTTTTATATAAAAATCAGGAACATTTAAAATATTTTCAAGGTAGTACACCTTCCGCGGACGTTGTAGAAGAATGGTATAAAAGAAGAACGTACGAAATCGAAAAAAATACCGGATTGGTTGAAAATGCGTTAAATTTTGTAATTTTGGCCAGGGAAAGAGGAGTAAAGGTTAAAACGAATGTTTTTACTGCAGGAAAATACTCACGATTAATTACAAAAAATTTTTGAGCGGTTTTAAAATGCATTTTTAATTGTAGTCAATGAACAAATTGTACTCCGATTTGCTAACTTTGGAATCTTTGGTGTACCTTGTCGGAGACGAAAATACAACATTGAAAAAACTTGAAATATTAAATCATTTCGAACAGTGTAAACTGTTGTTAGCCAAAACAGCAGCAAGTTCTTTCATCACCGACCTGAAGAATTTAATTGTTCCACTAGCAAAACGTTGCAAGACGGGAAATTGCCACACTCCGCAAGCTTTATTAAAAACAATTTTGCTTTATTTCAGCGAAGAAAGTTTAGAATTTTCTTTGAAAGTAAGCTTGTGCGTGAATGCAAATAATTTAATTTTTAGAGAAAAAATGATTGATAAATTTCATTTACTCGTTTTATTTTTTTTTTTTAGTTTTTAAATCATTTAAAAGAGGGTTACATGAATCCTTTTGATTTAACATTCAACGAAACGGCATTAATTGTTTTGGATTGTATTTATTCGTGTCCCAAATCCGATCAACTTGAAAATTGTTTTTCAATATTGGAATGCCTTCCTCAAAGATCAGAAAAGTATTAAGGAAAAAATGAAGTATTTTTTCTTTTTAAAAAAATAATCGTTTGTTAAAATTACATTTTTTTTTTTTTTTTTCACAAGTTGTAGTAAAGAAGAATCTGATTTGCATGATAAAATTGATGATGTTGAAATTTATTTAGAAGTGTGTGAAATTTTAGAACGTTATGAAATTTCAAAATCTGTCAAGTTTATTTACGAAAATAAAAACGTCGAAGAAATCGGAAAAGAACTTTTGTCTAGCATGGCTGATTTCACAAAACGGTGAGTAGTATAAAATAATTCTTTTATAATATAAATAAATATTGTTTTATTTTATTCGGAAATGTTGTTTTAGGGTATCTTTAGATTTCACGGAATTACTTGTAGATTTTCAAGTCATTCAATCGAAAATATTTCCATGCATTTCTGACGATTATTGCCGAGAAGTAATTTTTTTTTTTTTTTTACAATAATGATTGTTTTAATTTAAATTATAAATAATGTAATTTTTTTTTTTTTTAATGTAAATTATTATTAGCTGTGCACGTTAACTCAAATGACGTGCGAATGCGAAGAAATTATCATGTCAGCAGAAGATATTTTGGAATGTCGAAAAGGAGAAAAAAATAAAATAATACCATTTGAAAAAAGTATTCAATTGGTTTTGGAAGCTGCTCAAAAGCATTTTGAAAAAGCAACGAGTTTTGATGATCATTACATTGAATTAGCACAGTAAGTATTGTTCATTTGACTCTCACTCCATAAGTTTATTATTAATAATTTATTTTTATAAATTACAGGACGTGTTTAAGGTTGATTGTGGAGCCCCATTTTCTTATTTCTGAAGAATTAGATTTAATTGAAGCCGTTCAATTATTAGGCGATTTCGAAGTTAACATGCTTCCGGTACAAGGTACAAGGATATATATTAATGACCATTGTTTTAATTTTTTGATGTAAATAAAATAAAAGTAATTAGTTTAAAGCTTTATAAAAACATTTTTCAGTGCGAAAAAATGAAAATAGAATCAAATTAATCGATGCATGCTTGAAAGCTAAGCCCAATAATTATAAATCTTATCAAAAGTTATTGCAGTTAGCTCAAGCTCTAAGGATATACGGAGATAATCGTGTGAAAAGAGAAGGCGAAGTAGGTGATTCTTTTTTCTGCTTCAAAATTTTAAATTTAAATAATCAGGAAAAGTCTAATTATTTGATTTGATGTTTAGGTATTAATCATGATAGCGGAATTCGCTTTAAAAGTTTCCGATTATGAATTCTGCAGTGAAATTTGTAATCATTTAGTTAACAGAAATTATTCATCAGCGTGGATGGTTATTAGGCTTTTAGCGCAAAATGAAGAGTTTCGAAACAGGAGTAAAAAATTACACTTTTTAGCATTTGCAATTTTACATTGCCCGCCGGAAAAAATAGAAGAATTAATCGAATCCAGGTATGGGGTAAATCATTATTATTGAATTTAAATTTATTGATGCTTTAGTCAACATTTATGTTTTTTTATTGTATTTCAGATTAGAATTTCAAGAAAAATATTTTTCAAATGTAATAATGGATACTTTAAGTTAAGCACAATAAAATGAATTTGCAAAGATGATTTTACATTTATTTATATATTAACCAAAACGTTTAAATTTTGAATTTAAATGTTATTGTTAAAAATAATCAATCACCCGTGAAGAATAATTGTATATTTGTAGAGGCAAAAAAAAATTTAAATAATTTTTCTCTATGGTGCAATATCTATCTACTGCCACGTGAGTAATTTATTTTGTGTAACTCACGTTGTAAAACAACCTGTATTTTAATTTTAACTTAATAACTTAATTTATAAGAAGAAAATAATAGTTAAATACAATTAGTGTTTTCCGTTTGAATTTCTTTTGTAATTTTTAACAAAAATAGTATGTTGTCCTTTTAAAATTTTTAATAATTTACAAAAATTAATTTGTAATCTAACCATGCCCAGTGAAATTGAAGGATTTAATATAGGAGAAAAGGAGGAAGTTGGAAATGCCAGTACGAAAAAAAAAAACGGTGGAGGATTTCAAGCATTTGGCTTTAGTTTTCCCGTACTCAAAGGCATTCAAAAAAGGGGTTATAAGATACCTACTCCCATTCAGCGTAAAAGTATTCCCTTAATTTTACAAGGCCGAGATGTAGTGGCTATGGCTCGTACAGGTAGTGGAAAAACAGCTTGTTTTTTACTACCTATGTTTGAAAAATTGATAAATAAAACTCCAAAATCACGGCTTGGTGTAAGAGCTTTAATATTGTCTCCAACCAGAGAACTAGCACTACAGGTGATTATTAAAATGTAACTCTTTACTTTTTTATTTTTAATATATTAATTGATCATGATTTAATTTAGACAGTAAAATTCATAAAAGAATTGGGAAAATTTACAAAATTAAAAGCTCTTGCAATTCTTGGCGGAGATTCAATGGATCAACAGTTTGGTGCAATACATGAAAATCCTGATATAATTGTTGCTACACCAGGTAGATTTTTACATATTTGCGTTGAAATGGAATTAAAATTAACATCCGTAGAATATGTTGTTTTTGACGAAGCTGACAGGTAAATTTTGTATTTAATATCCATTATACTATTATATGATTTGACTATGTATATAACATGACTTGACCTTTTGTTGATTAAATTTACACAAATAACTATTTTGTTTCAGACTATTTGAAATGGGTTTTGGAGAACAATTAAAAGAAATTTTAGATCGTTTAGGAGTTTCTAGGCAAACTGTATTATTTTCTGCCACTCTTCCAAAACTACTTGTTGATTTTGCAAAAGCTGGATTGGTTAATCCTGTACTTTTAAGATTGGATGTTGAAACCAAAATCCCTGAAATGTTAGATTTGGTATACTTTTCAGTTAAACATGATGAAAAACTTGCTGCTCTACTGTGCCTACTTAATCTTTTACCAAAAAATACTCAAACTTTGATTTTTGTGGCTACCAAGCATCATGTTGAATATATTCATAAGGTAATTTTTGAATAGTTAAATTTATTTTAGTTTTTAATCTGCAAACATTTGTAAAAAAATCATTTAATAATTTAGTTTTTTATTTATTTTTTTTTTTTATAATTAAGAATTAATAAATATCAGACATTCTTATACCACGATTAAAAATTTTTTAGATTTTAGAAAAAGCAAATATATCTAGTTCATACATTTATTCAGATCTGGATCCAACTGCGAGAAAAATAAATGCAGCAAAATTTCAAAATAAAGTATGTTCAGTTTTAATTGTTACTGATGTAGCTGCTCGAGGAGTTGATATCCCACAATTGGATTATGTTATAAATTACCATTTTCCTGCTAAACCCAAACTTTTTGTTCACAGAGTAGGTTAGTTTAAAAATTTCAATAAATTTATTTGTGAGGATTGTAATTTTATGTATTATTTTTAAATTACAACATTAATAATATAGTATTACGAATCTATTTTTCTAGTTAAATGTTTTTAAAAATAAAGTTTTGAAAATTTCTAGGAAGATGTGCAAGAGCGGGTAGAACTGGAACAGCATTTTCTTTAGTATGTTCAGAAGAATTTCCTTATATTATCGATCTTCATTTATTTTTGGGGAAAAAAATAAATTTACTGGACAAAACTTCTAAATTAACAACTTCTTGCAATGCCAAAGAAGCTTTAGGTAAAATTCCATCTGATGTAATCGAATCTCAGCAGTCTGAATTAATCAGTTGGCATCACAATGATGAGGAAATTGTGAGTAGATTTCATATATATATAAAAGATTTCCAAATTTTTAAACGTTTAACAATTTTTATTTTAAAAATATTTTCACAGAGTAATTTAGAAAAAGTATGTGATAATGGTTATAAAAAATACTTGAAATCACGTCCTGGAGCATCAATAGAAAGTTTAAAAAGAGCAAAAGAATTAGATTTGTATAATGTTGAAGTTCATCCCTTTTTTAGAGATCATTTCAATGGTGAAGAAAATAATTTGGAACTCGTGGGAAAAATAAAAAAATATAGGCCAAAAGGGGTATTTATTTAATATTTTAAAAAAAAAAAAACTTATCATTAGTTTTTTTTTTTTTTTACGGTTAATAATTTTAAAAATTTTTATTTTCAGACAATTTTTGAATTGAATTTATCGAATAAGTCAAAATGTTACACTGTTATGAAAAACATGAAGAAATTTCATGCTAAAAATATAATAAATTATAAAAAAAAAAAGGAAACGGAAAAACTGAACGAAGAGGAAGAGGATGAAAATTTTGATGATAATGATAATTTAAAAGAAAACCGGGAAGAAAGTGAAGATGATGATTTTGTTTCGGCCGTTAAAAAAAAGAAAAATAATCATTTGAATGTAAGAAAAAAAAGAAAATTTGTCGACGAAGAATACTACGTTCCTCATTTTGCATCGGACCAATACACGGAAAAGGGGTAAGTTTTTTTTTTTTTTTTTTTTATTTAAATTTAAATGATCCCGTCGGAAAACTATCCCAAACACGGTGAAAATTATGCGTTATAGATTATCCGTCAATAGTTTTACAAACGAAGCCAATAAATTAGCATTCGATTTAACGGGTGATAACGAAAATGAACTTAAATCGCAAAAAAGAATGAAAATATGGGATAAAAAAAGAAAAAAAATGGTCGGAGTTGCGGTAAGCATTATGAAAAATTATTATTATTATTATTATTTTTTAATGTTCCCATTGCTTATTTGAAAATAATTTTTTAATTTAAATGAGTAAAGGATCAAAAAGTTGGGAAAATCAAAACCGAATCGGGTAACTGGATATCGGCATCGTACAAAAGTAACCGTTATGAAAAATGGAAGGAACGATCAAACGTGGCGGAAAATAGCGAATCGGAAAATGACGAGGAAGGTGAAAATAGGAAAAATGTTAAAAACAAACGTAAGTTATTTAAAATAAGTGAATTACGTTTATTTGACTTTTTTTTGAAAAAATTTTTTTTTTTATTTTACTTTTTCACAGCCGAAGATTTTCCCAACACTCGTCGGGGAAAAATAAATAGAAAAATGGCTCAAAAACTTAAGGCCAAGGCAAGTTTAATAAAACCGGAAAATATTCTCAAGGCTAGAAAAGTATTGGAAAAAAAACAACAGAAAAGCATACCGAGAAGCGTGAAAAAAAAAAACAACAGAAGAAAAAATTATCAAAAATAATTATTTATATTGTATGACAAAATTTTAACATCTTCCCAAAACGTGTCCCATTGCATTCATTTCTTGTTTTGACATGGGTTTCAACATTAAACCAGGTACAGGAGGTTGATGTTCCATATCTCGAAGTAAATTTACTTTGACTTTTAAATTACTCCTGAGTTTATTGATTTCCGCATCGACTTGAACTTGGTCTAAAAAATAAAGTTTTATTCAATAATAATAGCGATGATTATTATTTTAAATTATTCATTCTTTTATTTAAAAAAAATTTTGTTTACCCTTTTTAAGCAAATTTTCAACTTTGTTAGTTGGAAATTTAAGTAAAAGAGGACCGAGAGCAAACCAAGTTTTTGTAACTTTTGAATTTTTAAGCTCTCTAAGTCCTTCCCTTGTTTCATTTCTTCTCTTATCGAGAGCAATAATTTCTTGACGATCTACTAAAATCTCTTCTCCTAAACTTTCAAGCTCTTTAAGATATTGTAAGCTCTTATCTGGATTATCCATGTTATTTCAAAAAACTAAAATAATAAAAAAGTGAAGGAATCAGTAATAGTTGATAAAAGTTAATAAATTTTTTTCTTACCATTTTATTTAAAACTTTATAAAAATTCTCTTCGAAAATTTTTTTCAAAATGTTTTTCCTTTAATTCTCTGTTTAAAATTTCAGTTTTATTTTTATTTTCATAATTTATAAGAGGTAATTTTTTTATATTTCTTTTGTTATTAGGAACTCCAATGCCATGCCTGTTTTTTTTAACAATGGCTTTAATCGGAAATAAAATACCATTACCCTCCGGTCCTAAACCTTTTTCTTTATTCCAACCTTTTTTTAATAATATTTGAAAACCTTTATTACTTTCAGGTATTACATAATGAACTGGTTTCTTATGATTAGAATTAAATAAGTGTACTGTTGAAGATTCATGTTTTTCTTTACTTGTTAAAAACTCTTGATTACAAGAATCGCAGAAATAACGAGGAACTGATTCTTTTTTATTTTTTAAATTTGTATCAGACTTATTACTATTATTATTATGACTAATATTATTATTTCTACTAAAATTACTTATAAGCGATACAATTGAGTCATATTTTTTTAATGTGGCTATTTTTATGGCTGAATTGCCTGTTTTGTCTTTTACAAAGGGATCAGCTCCTTTTTGTAAAAGTAGCCTAACTGCATCTTCGGCTCCACTACAACAAGCACACATTAAAGGAGTCCATCCGAAATCATCTTTTATGTTGGGATTAATATTTGATTTCATTGAAAAAAACAATTTTAAACCTTTTATGTCATTATTTTGTGCCATTAAAAGTAAATCATTATCCTTTAATGGTGTAGTTTGTTTTTGTATTTTTTTTGTACTAAAATTATCATTATTTAGCCTTTTTATTTTTTTTACTTTTGTAGTTTCGTTAATGGGATTTGATAGGTTTTCGTATAACTCCTTAGTTTTTTCCCCATCCGAATGTGAAAGTTCTGTTAATTTTAGTGATGCATCCTCACAATTTTCAACTTCCTTCACAAAAACTTTTTGTTTCAAACCGAAATGATAATAGTAGTGCGACATTTACGTAAAATATTTTATAACGAAATATCATTACCTCTAAGAAACGTAATTTAGTAATATTATATTGTAATATTTTAAAATAATTTAGATATAAATGCTTGATTACCACTGCTTACTAAAGGTTTACTATTTGATCGCCATTTTTAATTTATGGAAGTTTACAGTGTAGCCAACATAAAAAAAAGAATTCAGTTAAGTAATCAATCCTTATCAAGGTCAAATCAGCCTACCGTGTGATCAGTGATGTCACAATGA